TAAAAAACTTTCCCTAGACTAAATTAGGCCTTTCTAGTGTCATGAAAGAGAGCAGCACTGGACTGTCTTTTCTGAAAACTAGGAAGCTGGAATGTTAGGAATTTGACCTACTTTGTGGAGGCTATCTACCTTGGACTAAGTCAGCATATTTAGATTGTTTACCACTTAAGTGTCAATAGTGTTCTCAGGATTCCATTACCAGAAGTCCTAGGCAAATTTGCATTCTTAGCCATTCAATTTGTGGGTTGAAAGTATAATTTTATAATTTAAATTTAATTATTTTTTAGGTTGCTAAGGAATGTGTCAAATTAAACTCATTTATTTGGGGAGCTTTTAAATTTTATAAACATTTATTTATTTCTGTGTAATTTGATAATATCACAATGGTTTCAAATGCTTGAAAGCAATTTAAGTAAATTAACCAGTCCTATAAGCTTGTTTTACATTATAAGCCATCTCACAGGCAAACTATTGTGAAGTTTAGGAAGGTTCAAATAACTGAAATTTCACTATACTGTTATGTTCAACTGTATTTTCATGTCTACTTTTGAATTTTTTTTTACGATTTTTCAGATTAAGAGTTTATATGTATGTTTTCCCCAAACCAAAAGTATATAGTTTGATGTCCCCATTCCATTGTCCAGCAGTAACTACTGTTCATTAGCTTTAAATTTTTATGTACATGTACAAAACAGCATCCTTTGCAAATGGATTTTTTAGAATATAAAAATAAGTTATACTGTCTATATTGCTTAGTAACTTGCCAAGTTATATTTGCACCATATATATATATGATATCTATCCCCATTTTTTGGAAAGTTGAAGTTTTAATACTGTATACATCAAAGCAAATTGGTACATTTTATATAGTTAATTGTTCTTTCATTTCATTCAAAAAATTCAAGGAGGAATAAAAATTAGAGAATGTTTTTTGCAGGATTTTAAAGGGAAGTAGTTAGTCTTCAGTAAGGTGGCACCAGGGTTGACATAGGTAGGTAGATGACAGACAGACTGTATTTTTCCTCAGAAACAGCATGTGCTAGGGGAGGGTACAGCCAAAAATAATGCCAGAGGGGGGAATTTTGTTTACTTAACAGTACAAACTGTTTCCAGGAACTTTATAAACTAATTAGGGATTATTATATCTTATTCAGGAGAAACCCCAAAGATCTATCTCTCCTTAGTAACACTTGATTTCCAATATATTTGACAAAACTTTAAGTGGATGATTTTTTAATGTATTTTTGACTCCTTCCTATCTAATCTACTTTAGTGAGTTTTTACATAGACAATTTATTCTCATCTTATTAAAGCATAATTGACTACTTTATGACCATTTAAGTTTGATATACCGATACCTTTAATTTTACATAAATAGTATGAATTTTCAGTAGGAAAAATGAAAATGCTACATACCATAGTAGATCTCCACAGCCTATATGGTTTATTACTTATAAGTAGGGCTTTGTTTTCTCTAAGACAATTAATATAAATCAGTATACTTATATGTATTTACTATATGCTTATAAATATAACTACTTCACATTTCTTTCTGAGACTGTCCAAACAGTTTAAAAATTAATTGGCATCTTTCCCCCCCCAAAAGGGTCCATTCATGATATGTCCAAAAAGATTCTGTTTTACTGTATTTTTCCTGGGATTTTCTAACACTCTTAAGACTAGACATTTCCAGAAGTTAGCTCAAAAATATTCCATTTATTCATATTTAAATCATAGTGACATCTTTCATGACCTTTTATTAGCCTTTTTTTTACTATCTTTATGCTTTTACTTTTAAAATAATATGGTTGGTGTCATTAAAAACCATTTTAAGTATAAATAACACTCCCATAAAGATGTATTGCAGGTTTTAGTGCATTTAGTCATGAGTCCTCCACATTTCTCCAATCTCCTTCTCTCTGTTCAGTGTGTTAATTGAAATTAATCATAAGCAAGATTCAGGGTGAACTAAATCTGTCGCAAGAAATATATTTTCATCCCGCCTCTAGACCACAGTGAGATGAGTCACATGTACCCCATGCTGTCATGACCTATGATGCCACAAGCTATAAGAATACAAAGTCACTTTATAAAAAGAAAGAATGGAAATAGAATATTGTTAGCAAAACACAATGGTGTTTTTGTCTTTGCACTATTCTTCATTTTAAACCAGAACTGCCTTTCTACCTGTTACAACATAAAGCACTCATCAAATTCTCCCACCATTGGCTGGCAATGACAGAAATTTCAGAGCTACCTCTTCCGTGACAGTGCCACTGAAAGGCCTAGAATTCTGGCTCTCCCAGAGCAGTCTTTGTGACCTTCTACTTTTCCTAGGAAGCCAGCAGTGCACAGTAACTACATATACTGTGGTGTAGCAATATCCAACAAAAACTTTAATAGGTAAATATGGCTATAGAATAGGTCTGCACTTCAGATGTTTGTCCAAAACGGTAGGTGGCACTAACCTAAAGTTGAATGAAGACCAGTGCCGAAAATAATGTATCGCAAATACAGTCCTATGTTTGCTTTGAGTGGTTCTTCTTCTTAGGCAATCATAGAACTGATAGATATTAAGGAGCCATCTAAATCTATCAAGCTTCCTATGAGCAGGATAGTAAGAGCCCATCTTGGAGAGTGAAGAATTTATTTCATTTTTTTTTAAACTCACTAGAGGAAGGTCTTTTGACAGTTTTCCCCTTTTAAGCCTGTAACAGTCAATAACTGAGAGATACTATTTTAAATTCCTTTCATACTGACTATTTCTTTTCTTTTCGTCTGTGGCAATTAAAACCAGATAATCAGTGATTACATAGGACCCTCACTTGAAAACAGTAGTATTCTGAAACCAAGTACTTCATCACAGCTATTCTCATTTACCTAAAGACCTATAAAAGATTCTGTCTTTAAAAAAGTGAGATTTTCCCTGAACTTTCAGTGCTTCCAAAAAATATATATATTGCTCTTAGTAAATGAAATTTTAAGTCAAACTAACAGTGGGTGATAAATTTCCCAATTAAGGTACTATCTTAATTCAAATTAGGCATACTGTAATTCATAAAAATGGGTTGTACTGAAAGTGAGATGATCTAATGAGAGCCCTAACCACTGGCTAATTTTTTTTTTCAACCAATGCAACTTTGCTTTGTAAAGCAATGTGTAAGTGTTTATTCTATAGTTATGTATTTTTAAATTCTTCCTTCCTTGGAGCTTGTTGCCAATCATCATCCTGGTACATACTTGAGGTTTAACGCTTTGAATGTTGTTGACTGCTCAATAACTATCAGTGGAGTCAGCCTCTTCTCCTTGCCCTGCAAGAGCAAGTAGAACATAAGCCTTCCTTTTCTAACGTTCCGCAGAGCATGTGTGTGTGTGGTGGTTGGAGTGGTGGGGAGATGTCTCCACCCGGTGTGTTGCTAATCTCTATGCCACATCCTCTAGGGAGAGGAAGCAAAACACATTCCTGGTGAATCTGTCACGGAAGAACACTTTACTGATGAAGAAGGCAACCTCGTCACCAGAAAAGTAATCACTGGGATTCCCTAGTTCTCTTGGAATTTAGATGTTCTGTTTGCTTGTGTAGTGTCTGTCCCCTCTTGAAACAGAAAACTGGAAACATCTCTGCTTTTCACTATTGCTTCCTACAGATCACTCGGAAAGTAATAAGACGAATGGTTATCCCACAAGAGAGGAAACAGGACGTGGTAAAGGAGAAAGTAGAGGATGAAAGCTTTGTGAACGCTCTAGTGTACGCGGCTAACAGGCTGGCGTGGGCAGTGTGGCAGCTTGAAGCGTTTGCTGCTCCTGATAGCTTGTGCATTTGATCAGGGTCAAAGACAAAGACTTTTCTTCCTAACATTCTTTAACATTCTATTCTTTTACTATCTTCAGAGAGTTCGCAGAGATATGCTCATTTATGGAGGTTAGAACATGCCAGTTCAAGATTCCTAGAAAAAATTAAAATCCTCTACCACCACCAAACCCATACCTAGTGCCTGTCTGGGCACGGATGGAGAGCATTCGTTTCCAGCAAATGCACAGCATTTAAATGTTAGAATGGCAAAAATCTCAGTTCAAGATCCATATATCAAATATATTTTCCCTGTACAGTATGTTCTACGGTGAAATCTGAATTACCCCGTTCTTAACCCAAAAATTTTCCTCTGCGTTTCCAATGTGCCAATTCAGGAACTAAACTCATTACTGAGCCTTGTAACTCAGCAAATGGATTTCCATCTCCCAGAAAAAGCACTGCTAGTTGCTTCTTCCTTCCTTTTCTTAGAACTTTAACCTTTCATTTTAAAAATAGAAACCTTAATAGCCTGTGTTTACATAAGACAAAGTGAACTGAAAATTTCTCAGAAGGTCTCAATCTGTGGAAAGGCTACTGTGTTGTCCATTAATTATAAACAGGGTAAAAGCTGAGTATCTGTACAAAAACTTTGCTCTCAGAGAAGTGTGTCCCATTGCTCGGTGAAGAGAGGTCTTGTTTTATGGAAAATGGATGTCTGCCTGGTCTGGAGTGAGAGGAGGGGTTGGTAATTCCACAAATAACATTTTTTTAAAGTCCCTTAGATCCACAGCATTTCCATGGTGTTAGTTGTGATTAGTGGTTTACTGAGAACTTTCAGTCTCAGTATAACAGCTTAAAATTCTGCTGGCTTAAAAATGTGTAAGTTGTAAATAACTAAATATTTTTTTTATGTTTGGGGTTTGAGTGCCTTGAGAGCTTCTGACCAGAAACGGACAGGCTGCTCCTTTTTGGATCCCTCACTAACCTGAAGTCCCGTGAAGTACAGTGGTGCTCCATAGCTTGCCTGGATGGTGCTAAGCTGTGGGGTGAAAGCCCCAGTGGATTGTATTTTTGGACATGACATGGCAAAGTGCTTTAAACTGTGTTTCACTTATCCTAACCCAGCCTCGAGGAAACAAGAGTTGGAACTGCTTCATAACTAAAACTCCTTTGCCGTGAAATCCTAACGTGTGCGTTCCTTTTAAAGCAGGGAGAAGGTTATAAGGTGAAGACAAAGAAAGAAGTCCGACACGTGGAGAAGAAGAGCCACTCGTAACAGTGAAAGGTCAGTCAGCGATGTGTGCTCATATCACCATCAGTAGCATTAACTCCCTTTGGCACGCAGGAAGTGACTGAGAGCACCCCCCTCCCCCACTGTGTTCCAGCTTTGCATATGCAGTATGAAGTTGTGAGAGTTAGTTTTTTATATATGCTCATACGCGCGCGCGCACACACACACACACTAAACTTGACTCTAGTTCACAACCCAGAAACCTCCTCAGGAATTTCCTTGTAAATGGCATTTGCAGAAGCAAGTGTAAACAGTGATGTTTGAATCTCCTAGAAGAGTGAAAGCTCAGTATCAAATGTAGTCAACAGGAAGATAATTTGGCAACGAGTAATTCTTACAAATACACTGTGAGAATTGTATTGATCTAGCCTTTCCCCATTTTAGTGGAACAGCACTGAAAATATAATTTTGGTTAAAATATAGTAGTTGTCAAGTTTAAATTAAATGAATGAAATCCCTATGTATTATTTCATATGCTTTATGTAAGCCAAAGCCGATTAAATAGGAAATTAATTAATGGTACTTGCTGTTTTTTTAAGTTAAAATGTTTAAAGTTGTCTGAACTTTACTTCATAGACAAGAGTGTTTTCCTTTAGCACTGTTTTCTAAATTTGACTTTATTCTGCTTATTTCTACATAGCTATCCTTAGAAAGGCAATTTGGGATGAAAAAGCAATATAGCTTTGAAAATGTCCCCATAAGCCTGCAAGGTAAAGCGGAATGGTTTATTTGGGGCTGTTCACCGACAGTTCTCTTAGCCCCGCTGGCCAATGTAACAGTGAGAGCAAGCGGGTTCCAGTTTCAGCTTTCATACCTCTGTTGCTCCCCAATTCCCAGAACCCTGAGAAAATATCTAGTCTCATTGTCCCCAGCGTTTTATGAGAGGTAACTGTAACTAAGGCCCAAGTAAATTCTTAATTCTTCCTCCACTAAAACACCTTATCATTTTTTACTTATCCACTTAAATATGTATTTCACTTCCTCTCTGTAGGCTTTCCACAGGGGCACTGAGAAGTCACCACTAGACAGTCCTGACAAGTGCTTGCTCTCCCCGAGCTTACACTTTAGATATTAAATGGGAAACAATCAAAACTAAGAACTGCATTGTGCTCTGGAATAGCATTTACTATACATACTCTTTACTATACATACTCTTCCAAGTGTTTCACTTGTGCGCTTAATTCTCACAACCAACCCATTTAACGGGTGAGAAAACAGGCCCAGAATTTTGCCCAATATCTCATAAACAAAAAATGGCAAAAAAGAAAAACACAATAGGATACACAAACCCAATAAGTGGTTGCCAAGCTTAAGTTAAATGAATGAGCCCACACCCTCAAACCTATGAACCAAAACTTGACCTGGATCTGAGATGACAGAGAAGCTTTCCTTTGCAAAGGGATGTTTGAGTTTTAAAGAATTGGATGAGGGATGGGAAATTTGCTACGGCTAGGCACAAGCAATAGCATTCTGCAGAGGCAACAAGTAGGAGACAGGGAAAGAGAAACTGTGAGAATGGGTCAGTGTAAGTGGCAGAAGAGTTTGCCATTGTGTCTGGAAAGGTAGGAAAGATCCGAATAGGCCTTGTGTGTCTCTTTGGTCTTTACCCCCAAAACAGTGGGAAACCATTGAAGGTTCTTAGGCAAGGGTGGGCTATAATGCAGGTTGTGTTTTGCATCACTCACTCTAGCTGCAGGGCAGAGAGTGAATCGGAAGTGGCAATGATGGATGACAAGAAAACCTGTGAAGACTATGGTAGATCCTGGCTTGGGCAGTGAGGATGGTAAAAGGTAGTATGGATTGAGAGATAGAAACATGACTTTTTTACTGGCTGATAAGGGTAAGAGATTGGATAATTAAGAATAATATCAGTGTAACAATATCTAGAATGAACCCACCTATTATGCATGTCAGACAGTTAAACTTGATAGAAGATACTATGTAGCAAATTACTAAAACACTGAACATGAGTTTGCTGTCTTGAATTGGTCTATTTAAGCAATTCTAAGCGAAACTAGAAACTAGGTCAGTCAGCTTTAGTGTCTCCCTTAAATTTTAACATCTCATTCAATCATAGACTCATACACCAGATGGAAAAGAACCAGAAGTAGCCCTAGCCAGTTTTGCCCAGTGGATAGAGCGTCGGCCTGTGGACTGAAGGGTCCCATATTCGATTCTGGCCAAGGGCACATTCCCGGGCTATGGGCTTGATCCCCAGTGGGGGGCATGCAGGAGGCAGCCAATCAATGGTTCTCTCTCATCACTGATGTTTCTATCTTTCACTCTCTTTCCCTTCTCTGAAATCAATAAAAGTATGTTGTTGTTTTTTTAACAAACAAACAAAAAACAGAATTGTTACCTACACTAGCTGGGCCATTTTTATAGAGTAACATACCTAATATTTATGAATAAATGATGCCAAAAACTATATGACAGTGCTGTGCTTCTAGGGTCCTATAGAGAATATTATCAGAGAGCAACTTGCTCAATAAATATATATGAGGCTTTAAAATTACAAATAGTACACATTGTAAAGAAGTTGACAGGGTCTGGGCTAACTTGCTATCCCCCTCAAAGGAGAGAGAAACTCAGTAGGAGAATTCCTATGAATGTGAGAATAACTTCAGGTTAGAGCAAACTCAATGTGTCAGATGGAAAAAATGGCAATTTGACTGCATGCCCCAGTCTACTCTCCAGGGTGGTATTTACCTTCCACAGAGAACCTGGGAAATGAGTCCAAGAATACTGCCTGGAATTCCAGGACACTGAATGTGCTCTGGAAAAAATCAATTTGCAAATAGATTGAGAAATTTTATAGCCCTGCTGGCTGCCCTTTAAAAATATATATAACAGAACCAAGCAAGCAGAATACTTCCAAATTTCACTGAGTCTGAGATGGTGACATCAAATTTTTATTTCCCATTGTACAGCCAGTTTAATTTTGAGTTATCTGAACCCTGCACCTGCTTTTCTGCAATACTAAGCCACAACCCATCCTTTTAATGGGGAAGGCCAATGGCTTAAAGTCACTTAAAGATTTGTGTGTAGTATATAGTGATTTATAGTTTATAAAGTGCTTGTCCATTTTCTTCCTGTGTAATCCTTCAAGCAAGCCTCGAAGCAGGTCAGACCAATTTTTTTTATTTCCTTCTAGAGATAAAGATACTGATGTCAGCTCAGAGATATCAGACCTTTCTGCTGTCACAGCTCATGATTGATACTCTTGCCTAGTAATGCCCTTTATTACACCAACCTGTCTTTCTAAAATTACTTATGAATAATAGTCATATTCTATCAAATGATTACTGTATTACAGGTACTATGTAAGATTACTAGTATATACCCCCCCCATTCATATAATCTCCAAAATAATACTATAGGGTAAGTACTACCATCCTTTTTTTATAAATGAGGAAACTGAAGTTTTACAATTTAAATGACTTACCCAAGGTCCTATAGCTAATGAGCAAAAGCTTAGAGATTTGAACTTACCCAGAACCTAGTTATTAACCATTACTTAAATTAATAGTTTAATAGTATTTGATGACTATTAAAAACCTAAAAGCAAACTTTAATCAAAGTTTGTACAAAGGCAACTTTGAGTAAATTTCTTCATACTGGTCATAGTAAAAACTGTGTGGGTGTTTTTTGTTTTATTTTTAGTAAATCAAGCTTTCATTTTTAAAGTTGCCATAATCTATAAAACATTTACTTCAAATGTACCATTAGAGGGCTGATTAGTGAGGCTGTGGCAAGGGAAGGTCCCCAGAAAGAAGCTGTAAAAATAGTAGGATACCTGTATTCCAAGCCTCTGGGGGGGAATGCTCAGTATCTCACAGCCATATGGAAGCCAAGAGTGGCAACAGTGCCCAAGTTTGGGAGGGCCACACTTTATCTGAGTCAAAAAGTTGGCCAATTGTATTTATTCCTTCTAAAAATATTTGACCTTTCACTTGGTGAAGAATGAAAAGGGTAGATATGCAATCATGAAGAAAACCTCCATGCTGCCTGTCCTTCTGGGACTCTTATCTTGCAAGGAGGAACCAGATGGGACAAAGGTTGTTCAAGGGCTAAAAATACAAAGCCAGGACCCAATGAGAAGGCAAGAGAGGTGGGTAAGAAGAGAAGGAAGGACTAGCCTAACAAACGCTCTGTGTTCTCAGTGGGCTCTAGGGAATGCCTATCAGAAAAGGCTTTCCTGAGGCCACAGCAGAGCTAAGTCTTTAAAGATGAGTAAGTGTTAACCTGCAAAGGGAGAGCAGTCTGCACTTTCAAGAAGATGGCACTTGAAACTAACTTGAAGGGTAGAGAGAGTTAGATATAGATGAAGGTTAGGGAAGGATAAGTGGATGCAAAGTCATGAGCAAAGGAAAAGTTGGAGACTAATGTGTTGATGACAGACATGTAGTCTTGATCCTCTAGATCAGGGGTGGGGAACCTTTTATCTGCCAAGGGCCATTTGGATTTTTATATCATTCAAGGGCAATACAAAATTATCAACATAAAAAAACAGTCTTGGTGGGGCCAGACTGTTCCTCATCCCTGCTTTAAATCCTCCTAGTGTGTGTGGCCTATGGACCAGCAGTATCAGCATTACCTGGGAGACCTGTTAGAAATACAGAATCTTTGAGTTCACCCCACACTACTGAATCAGAATCCGCATTTGAAGATCCCTGGGTGATACATATGCACATCAAACTATGAGAATTGCTGCTCCAGAATGTAGAACTGGCTATCAAACTTGATTGTACACTGGAATCATCTGGGAAGCTTTTAAGTTTTGTGGGGGGTTTGCTTTTGGATATTGGGTTCTGCCCCCAAGAAATTCTACTAGTAAATAAACTTAAAAAAAAAATCCCAATGTCCAGGCCACATGTCATTCAAGTCTCTGCAGATAATTCCAATGTGCCCCCAAGTGTGAGAACCAATGGAAAATAGTGGGCATTATAAGAAGTTCATTGGGCTACAGACAGAGAGCTTCAGAC